GTGTGAGCTAGCTCACAATTTTTTAGCCTCCGGCTCACACATTTTTGTCCTAGCTCAGGAAGGGATGGCTCCAGAGCAAACTAATTGATGCAGGAGCCAAATTGCTCGCTCACAACTTTAATGCCACTAGCTCACAAAGTAGAATTTTTGCTCACACGACTCCACAGCGTAGAGGGAACATTGCCCAAGAGGCAAGCCAGCCCTATTTGACTAGCCTGAGATTCTTGGGTTGAAGGAGGAGCTCCCAAATAAATCATCTTTCCCCTCTCTCTTTGGCAAAAATAGCCTGGCAGCTCAGCAACGCTGTGTGTGTGTGTGTGCGAAACTGCAGCTATTCTACAGCAGGGCCCTGCTCTCCCTTTCCATAAACAACCAATATCCTGTTACATTCCTTGTCTTATCCAACAGTCCACGAAGCCCTGAGCCCTTCTAAGGAGGAGACAATAAACTTATCTTTTTGTGTTGTATTGGTGTGAATCACAGGAGGAGGGGGGGATACTTGAAATTCCCTCGGGTTCCTCTCCTGCCTCTCCAGCCTTCCTCTATGATAGCAGCACTTTATCCAGCACAGTTATCTGTGAAAATTGTCTTACTGACCGCTCACAAAACGGTGCTGTAACTAAAATCAACTCAGGTGGGGAGCTGTGCTGGTCTGAAGCGGCAGAACAACCTTTGAGTCCAGCGGCACCAGCAGAGTTTTATTCAGGGTATAAGCTTTCGTGTGCAAAAATACCAGGTGCCATCAGGAGGTCCAGCGGTGGGGCCAGGACACTAGAAGCCCTCCCACTGTTGCCCCCACTCTCCAAGCACCAAGAATACAGAGCATCCCTTGCCCCAGACTGAGAGTTCCTATAAGAACATAAGAGAAGCCAGTGTTGGATCAGGCCAGTGGCCCCTCCAGTCCAACACTCTGTGTCACACAGTGGCCAGAAACACCAGGTGCCATCAGGAGGTCCAGCGGTGGGGCCAGGACACTAGAAGCCCTCCCACTGTTGCCTCCCCCCCCCCCAAGCACCAAGAATACAGGGGCATCTCTTGCCCCAGACTGAGAGTTCCAAAAGAACATAAGAGAAGCCAGTGTTGGATCAGGCCAGTGGCTCATCCAGTCCAACACTCTGTGGCACACAGTGGCCAGAAACACCAGGTGCCATCAGGAGGTCCAGCGGGGGGGCCAGGACACTAGAAGCCCTCCCACTGTTGCCTCCCCCCCCCAAGCACCAAGAATACAGGGGCATCCCTTGCCCCAGACTGAGAGTTCCTATAAGAACATAAGAGAAGCCAGTGTTGGGTCAGGCCAGTGGCCCATCCAGTCCAGCACTCTGTGTCACACAGTGGCCAGAAACACCAGGTGCCATCAGGAGGTCCAGCGGTGGGGCCAGGACACTAGAAGACCTCCCACTGTTGCCTCCTCCCCCCCCAAGCACCAAGAGTACAGAGCATCCCTTGCCCCAGAATTCTTATCTCTACCTTGTGGCTAGTAGCCACTGATGGACCTCTGCTCCATATGTTTATCCAATTCCCTCTTGAAGCCACACAGAATAAACGTCAGATGTTTGCGAGCTGCAAGACATGAACAAATATTACACACACATTACATGCAGATTTGCTTTTTAATAACATTAAATGCGACTGCCAAAAATAAAAACAAAAGGGGTAAAACCAGATATTTCTAATGATATTTGTTTGCTAATGATATTTATTTGTCTAAGAGAGAGAGGTGGAAAGAAAGAATAAAAGAGGTGGAAAGAAAGAGTGAAAGAGAGAGAAAGAAAGCAAATAGATGGGGGAGGGAGAGGAAGGAAGGGAGACAGAAAGAGAGGGAGAATGAAATGAAGAAAGCAAATAGATGGGGAGCCCGCCGGGAGCTGCACAATATGCTCCCGAGCCACAGTTTGGCCTCCCCTGGACTAACCTAAGGATGCCCTCACAGGGTGTTGCCAACTCCAGCCCATGAGACTCAGGAACATCCCATGAGTTTGTGAGTTCTTGCTTAGGATCCAAGGTACACCCCAAATAACCACAACCACCCTTTATTTAAAAAGGGAGGGAAATTTATTGTACCGAAGACAATAATACAAATATCAGTACGTTGCACAAGATTCTGACACACATACACACACACACAAATCTAAATAAGGTAGCTTTATCTTCCAAGAGCAAAACTCATTCGCAGGGCCAAAGAAACCTTTCTTCTTTGCTTTGGCCTTAGCTGATAAAAGCAAGATCTTGTGTCCTGCGTGAGAATGTTACAGCAAAGCCTGTTCTGGTTGTCAGAGAATTACCCAGGACTCCCCAAGCTAACGCTCCACGTGCCAATGATACAGTTGTCTTCACACTAATGAGATAACAACTTAATAACGTTGACCTTTCAAATGGACAGGAAAGGACTTCATCCGTAACGCCTGATGGTCGTCTGTCACTTTAACATTATTGCTTTCCTCTTGCATTAACAGTGACTAAGATAAACTAAAAAGAGAAATTAAGACTTAAGTATCACTTGCATGCACACTTATTTAGATGCGGCTTCACTGTATCTGAAGAAGTATGCACGCACACGAAACCTTGAATAAAACTTTGTTGGTCTTAAAGGTGCCACTGGACTCAGACTTTGTTCTGAGAGCAACTCAATCACTGCTACCAGAAGTTGCGACAGGGTGGTAGTGGAGCTGAGAAAGCTCTTGGCTGCCTGTCACAGAGGGATCTCGGTGGGGTGCGATGCTATACAGTTCACCCTCCAAAGCCGCCAGGAGATCTGGAGAAATGGGTTCCTCTGGGGAAGTCAAAGGGACTCACCTTTTTAATATGGGGAAAGGATTTGGTAACGGCTATTTGCTTTTAAAGGTCTGACGCCACCACAAAACATAAACAAGAGTCTCTAGAATCCTTCTTTATACAAGCCTTGAGTGCGGACTGCAATCTGGGAGAACCGGGTTTGATTCCCCCCTCCTCCACATGCAGCTGCTGGTGTGACCTTGGGTCAGTCACAGTTCTCTCGGAGCTGTTCTCTCACAAGCAGTTCTCGGAAGACCTCTCTCAGCCCCACCTTCCTCACAGGGTGTCTGTTGTGGGGAGGGGGAGGGAGAGGAGACTCTTCCTCTTCCCATGTTGGCTGTTTCCACTTGCTTTCCCCCCTTTCCCCAAGAATCACCTGGGGATTTGGCACCAACTTCCACGAGACTAGGTCTGAACCCCAGATCCTATTCAGCAGTGTTTCCAAAACAGAAGCCACAAGAACTTGCTCAGTTGGCAGCTGAGCACAAAACGATCACAGTGTTAATGCAGTGATTCACATCTAGCCAAGCAGGAGGAGACAAAATAGTTTCTGTTTACAAAGCTGGTTCCCCTGACTTGTGCCTGCACAATGAATTAAACCAGGCGACCGGAGATCTCTGGAGTCTGCGGGTCTGGGAGCAGCAAATCAAGCCCTAGGAGTCAATATGGGTGCAGTGGAAAGAGGGGTGTGTGTGTGTGTGTGTGTGGCAGCTCTGTACACATCTCTTTCTTTCTTACTGCTGGGGGAACTGAGAGGCTGGCCCAGGTTCTCCTGTTTGGTGTGAGAGCCAGTTTGGTGTAGTGGTTAAGTGTGCGGACTCTAATCTGGGAGAACCAGGTTTGATTCCCCACTCCTCCACTTGCACCTGCTGGTGTGACCTTGGGTCAGTCACAAGCTCTGGCACAGCTGTCCTTGAAAAAGAGCAGTTTGTGTCAGAGCTCTCTCAGACCCACCCACCTCCCAGGGTGTCTGTTGTGGGGAGGGGAAGGGAAAGGAGTTTGTAAGCCGCTCTGAAACTCCCAGGTGAAGGGCGGGGTATAAATCCAGTCTCTTCTTCTTCTTCTTCCTCTCCGGAATGCAGATTTTTTGAGATTATGAGGGATTACTGTACTAAGCCTTTATTCAGCCAATTTCCCCCCTGTACTCCGGAAACCCTGGCTCTTTTGCTTAGTGAAAAGGATCCCAGGATCACCCTAGGAATTGCAAAATTTGTCTCAGTCCTTTTAGCCCTTGCATCTAGAAAACAAGAAGTAAGCAGGGGTCATTTCGTAGAAAAAGAGGTGCGGGAGCTCATTCGCATAACTTATTTGCATATGCCACACCCCCTGACATCACCGGAAGTGTGTCAGAAGGCGACACCCACTGCTCAGGTTCCACTGGACTGTTTTGGATTGCTAGCTATTGGGGGGAGGGGGAACGTGCAGATCTGCCCTTGCAGAGGAGGGAGAGCTTGTACCTGAATAAAACTTGGTCTTAAAGGTGCCACTTTACTGTCTTGGACTGGGGGGCGGGGAGGGCTCTGCAACTTACCTGGCTGCTTCTTGCTCTGACTGAGGGCTGCTGGGAGCAGGGGGTGGGGCTTGTTGCATGTGCCCGTCCCCTGGGCTTTTTACTGCCGGAGCTCCGCTCCTGTGTGCTCCTGCAGGAAATGATCCCTGGAAATAAGTGTTTTCTCCTGCTCACGATTTGTGAATCAATGAGCTTCTAAGGGTACAAAAGGAAAGGAAAGGAAAAATTCTCCTATCCCAACTCAACAGATGGAGCCTCAAGGCTTACCAACTTTTGGGCTACAAACTACAGTTTGAAAACCTCTGGTTTGGCATGATGACCCCATGAAGGAAAGAGGCCTTTCTAAATCATGGTTTGCTGGTTGTATAGCTGGAAGCTGGGACCAACGACCTGGGTTGAAATATGCTTTAGCATAAACAGTTGCTTGATGTCATGTCTGCCTTCCGCCGGTGCCTTATTCCAAAGCATTTTTGGTGTGTTTTTCTGAAAGTCTTGTTCCACTGGGGTATCTGTTGCCCCGGAGATCTTAAATGGGATAAAGTACTGGTCTGGACTGGTCACTTCATCTAAGGTATCCTGCCCTTGACTTGATTCCAAGGAATCCTGCTTGCAGGAAATGGAGCGGGATAGGAATTAAATAAACATAAACGTAACAATTGACAGTTGAGCGCAGTTGTGTTTCCGATGAAGTGTGACCGCCTTTTGTGCTTTGGTTTAGATGGTCGTTGAAGCCCTGGAAGAAGAAAAGCAGTTCCTAACCGTGTCTATCGCAGAGTACTTAAAGGACTACCATGAACTCCTGCAGGTGAAAGCAGGCCTTAGCCTTGAAATTGCAACTTACAGGTAAGGGTCGAAAATTCAGCACGCAGTGCCCTTACGAGGTATTGGAAGGCTCTCTTAAACTGGGAGAGGAACAGAAGTAGAGATGTAAAATTTCCGTTTTTTCCCCAGTTTTTTTCGGGGGGGAACAGAAATTTTCGGGAAAATTGAAAAAATGCTACATTAGCATTTCTTTTGTCTTTTCTAGATTGAAAGTCATTCTGTTACTTTAGGAACAGAAAATATGACTATGGACATTTTTACTTGGCATGAAATGATCACAACTAGCATATTAAAAATATAGTGTATCCAAACAATTATTACAAACAGAATACCCACGCACATGCAAAAACAAAACTGAAACTTTTTTATTTTTTTCTGACAAAATCGCACTTCCTAAAGGAAGAAATGCATCTTGTTCTTGCATTGGAGGGTTCAGTTCGTAACCTAGGACTTGCTTGTCCTCAGTGCACAGAAATTAGATCAATCTGATACCATATATATATATTTTAGAAATGATTTGGAAAATATTTGAACACCTGGTCTTAAAATATTTTATTCATCATGTTAAAATAAAACGTTCCATAATCAATTTTTTTTCTTTTCTTTTCTTTTTTCAATTTTTCCAATTTTTCAGAAAAAACCAAAAAGGCTTCAGGAAAAAAACGGGGGGAAACCTGGTTTTCCCCCGAATTTTTCCGGTTTTTTTCCGGGCCTTCACATCTCTAAACAGAAGAGCATAAGGAGAATGTGATGGCCCCTCTCCCAGCTTCAAAGGGCTGTGTGATCTCGCAACTGCGTGGCAAATCCCCCCCCCCAGTACCCTCGCTCCCCCTCCGCTTCAACTGGGGCATGTGACTGCAGCCTTTATTTCCGCCTAGCCTACCTCACAGGGATGAGGAAGAGAGAACTGTATGTGCAGGAGCGGGAGAAAAATGTACTTTATGGACAGCTTGTCTGACTCTTCCATCTTCACCTCCGCCTTCCACCAAGGAAGAACTTGGCTCTTCCCTCTTCCATTTTAAGGAGATCAAAAGAGCCCTCCTGGATCAGACCGATGGGTCCATCCAGGGGGTCATTTTGTAGAAAAAGAGGTGCAGGAGCTCATTAGCATAACTCATCAGCATGACTTATTTGCATATGCCACACCCCCTGAAATCACCGGAAGGGTGTCAGAAGGCAACACCCACCTCTCAGGCTCCACTGGACTGGTTTGGATTGCTAGCTATTGGGGGGGGGGGACGTGCAGATCTGTCCTCGCAGAGGAGGGAGAGCTTGTACCTGAATAAACCTTGATCTTAAAGGTGCCACTGGACTGTTTTGGAAGTGAGGTGCCACTGGACTGTCCAAGGAAGTAGGGATGGCCACAGCCAGAGATGGCTTTAAAAGATTATTAGACAGATTCATGTAGGTCGATCAGTGGCTACTACCCATGGTGAATAAACTCAGCCTCTGTATAAAGGGGCAACAAACCTCTGAATCTCAAAGCTGGGAGCTACATCAGGGGAAGGTCTTGGCCTCTGTGCCCTGTTGTTGGCCCTCCAGAATACCTGGTTGGCCACTGTGTGAAACGGGATGCTGGACTAGATGGACTGCTGGTCTGATCCGGCAGGGCTGTTTTTTATGTTCTCGTGTACTTTTTCCCTAGATGTCTTAGGTTAGCATTCATTACATAGAATCATGGAATCATAGAGTTGGAAGGGATCTCCAGGGTCATCTATTCCAAACCCCTGCACAATGCAGGAAATTCACAAATACCTTCCCCCCCCCACACCCACAGTGACCGCTGTTCCACGCCCAGAAGATGACAAAAAACCCTCCAGGATTGCTTCCTGACCCCAATGTGGCAATCAGCATTTCCCTGGGCGTGTAAAAAAGGGCCACGAGAACTAAGCACTGAGGCGACCCTCCCTTCCCTCCCTCTCATGATCTGCCTAAGTTCACAGAATCTGCATTGCTGTCTGATGGCCATCTAGCCTCTGCTTAAAATCCTCCAAAGGAGGAGAGCCCACCATGTGTGAAATCGGCAATTTGTCTATTGGCTTTTAGATATTATATCTTCTGCTGTGCCTTGAAAGGGAGAAGTCTGTTCGATTCAGCATTTTTCTTCGGGGTTGGTATTGCCTTTAGAACTGTCGGTTGATTGGGGAGGTATTCTGTCCTTCCTCCTGGCAATGGCAAGTTTCCAAATATTTATCATCTAGTTAGGATGTCTGTGCTGCCCACTGAGAAACTTTCAGAGTGGCAATTGATAGCTCTTCATCCTTCTCCTTGCTCCCCCACCCTCTGCTGGGTCACAGATGAAAATAAAATTCCCTGTTCCCTTGAAGTTAGAGTAAAGGCCTTCTGTGGTTTAGCACAAAAGAAGAGCCGTAAGACCAGTAATCTCCCCCACCACCACCACCCCGGATCATATCTGAGAGTGAACGCTTAAAAATTTGGCATTTTTAATAATAATAATTTTTCGAATAGGAGCCGCCACCATCACTGTTCCACAAACGCCCTATGATTTTCGCATATTGCTATCGCTGGTGCGGGCACTATTGGAGGGAACGGGACGTTTTTAGTGGACCGCAGGGCAGTGGGATATGCACTGCTGTGATTTGTCTAGCTATGCCATTGAGAACACCATCTTGGTTTAAAATCTTAACATCTGGAAATGAATAGGGGAGCACTGAAAATGTTTTTATGATGTCTGATTGTTTCTTAATTGTCGATTTGTAATTTAACATTTTATATTGTCTTAGTGTTATTATCTGGCATTGTGCCGTGTTAGCCGCCCTGAGCCTTCGGGGAGGGCGGGATAGAAATCCAAATAAATAAATAAATAAATATCCTTCCTCTTATCATGAAGCTTAACAAGCAGTGCCATGCTAAGACCGTAACCTCCCATCCTATTAACATCTAACAGGGAGCATATTAAGCTGTTCTGGAGTAATGTTATGTTTCTTTTTTTTTTTTTAATAAAGGTTTTATTGGCTCCCCTAAAAAGGGGAGGTATTTCGCTTAAAAGAAAAAAAGGGAGGGGTAGACAGTGGGAGAAAGAGAAAGCTGAGTGATATATAAACTGGTAAATTAAACTGTTAGTAATGTCCAATTAATCTTCTTGGGCTTCTTCTGTGTGTTGCCAAACTTCTTTTCTTAGTCCTGTTACATGTTCTCTGTTAGTATGTTAGTAATGTTCCTTTGAGATTCTGTTAATAAAAAGTCTCTTCTGTGCATATTCAGAACCGCTTCTTTGCGTGCTGGGTACTTTTACTATCGCTGACGTGGAGGAGCTTCCTCTGTTGTCTTCCTTCCGGCTTGTTAAATCCTCCTTCGGGTTGTTGTTAATACACTCAGTTCATGTACTATAAATCCTCTTCCTTTCATGCCTCGGAGGTCCCCATTTTCGAGAATGGTATCAATTTCATTTTCGCTTTTATATTCGCTCCCAGACTCTCTATGGGTCCTCCTCGCAATTGTTGACTTATAAGCGCTTATCAGGCACTTTTCGCTGTCACAATTCCAACTTATCTTTTTTGCAAAACTCCCGTCGGATTCGCAGCCATAAACAGTCCAAACATTCAACAGCCGGCTCTTGCACACAAACAAACGCCCAGACGGAAGTCCCTCCCTCCTTCTCCGCTCGCCTCTTAATTCATCCCCCCCTCCTTTTCTTTTTCGCTTATATAGATGGAGGATAAACCTCTTCGCCTTTTTCGCTGGGGGGGGGGAAAACAATTTTCAGTTCTTTTTCTCTGCATTTTGACAACTCACAGTTAAGCCGATCTTTTCTTTTTCTTTTCCATTTTTGCGGATGGTCGCTTTATCACTCGGTGACGTCTGGTGGCTCCGCTAAACCCCGTTCGGGGTCGCTCACGCAGCAAGGTCCATTGGGGCAGGGCATGGCGGGAGCCTCGCTCTCCGACCTCTCGGCCGAAAGAGCGACTCCCCCCTAGTGCGCCCTAAAGCGCCCCGGATCCGAGCTCCTCTCTTCTGAGGGGCTCGTTCGGGTCTCCGCTCGCGCGGATTCCCTCCTCCACCGCGGGCGGGCGAGGCGCCCTCGGGAGCGACCCGAGGAAGCGTCCGCCATGCGCGGGAGCCAGACCGGAAGCCCTGGAGTAATGTTATGTTTCTTTAACTGCCATCCTGCTTTATTTAACCAGTTTTTAATTATATATTCACTGTATTTTATTTCTGTTGTGAGCCACCCTGAACCCATCATGGGATAGCTGTTGTTGTTGTTCAGTTGCACAGTCGAGTCCGACTCTTCACGACCCCGTGGACCACATCACGCCAGGCCCTCCTGTCTTCCGCCATCCTCCAGAGTTTCCTTGATTTCATGTTCGTTGCCTCGATAACACTGTCTAACCATCTCATCCTTTGCCGTCCCCGTCTTCTTTGACCTTCAATCTTTCCAAGCATCAGGGTCTTCTCCAGTGAGTGCTCCCTTCTCATTTGGTGGCCAAAGTATTTGAGTTTCAGCTTCAGTATCTGGCCTTCCAGGGAACAGTCAGGGTTGATTTCTTTTAGGACTGACTGATTTGATCTCCTTGCAGTCCAAGGGACTCTCAAGAGTCTTCTCCAGCACCATAATTCGAAAGCATCTATTCTTCAGTGCTCGGCCTTCCTTATGGTCTAACTCTCGCAGCCATACATTTCTACTGGGAATACCATTGGGCGGGATAAAGATGCAATAAATAAATAAACGGAGCTCAGTTCTTTCAAAATGGATTCTTCCGAGCTAACCAAAACCGGCTCTGAAACATCTACATTTGTTCGAAGCGTAAATGTTGGCAATTATTACCATGATTCTCTTGATATTGCAGTAAGGAAAACAGGGCTGAAGGCCTCCAGTAGCCTCACACAGGGCTCACCAACCTTTCTGAGCCTGTGGGCGTCTTTGGGATTCTGACACAGCGTGGTGGGCAGAAGCACAAAATGGCTTCCACGGGAGGTGGAGCCGGCCACACAGAGGAAGTTCAAGTGCAGAGAGAATAACACAATTTTTTTAAAAAAGATCAATGGGAAAGGCGAGTGAG